TGCATCTCTGTCAACCCTACTGGTCGCTTGCAAGTTCCTTCAAATGTTCTGACAAACACTCGGGCAAGATCTTCCCAAGTGTAAATACTGCTAGGAGCCAACTGATTCAGCCATGCTCTGGCCGAGTCCTCCAACATAAGAGGCAGGTGTTTCATGGCTACCTCATCATTGCCGCTGCCAATCTGAACAGCCACTCGGTAGTCTTCAAGCCAAGTATCGGGCTTGGACTCGCCGGTGAACTTATTGACTCCAGTCGCCAACCTGAAATTTGGAGGAATCACCGCGACCCTGATGGCTCTGCTAAAACACTCTGGTCCTTAGACGTGAACTCTGCTGCTGGTGGGCACATCTCTGTCATGGCCTTCTCGGTGAGCTCTGTTCCGATCGACCAAACCTTGAACGATGATGGATCTCGCATCAAAGCCTGGTTCTCTGGGGTCGACTGGAACCCTTTGCCCAACACTGTACTGGCATATGTCATCTTGCTGTCGAGGGGCGTACGACCCACCTCTTGGTGGTGGAGTGGGCACTTGACGCCGATCATCGTGATCGAATCGGTCATCATACTGATCACGCCGACCTCCACGCCCCTCACGCCTCAGGGGCGATCTAGGGCTATGGGCCGACTGGACTGTGTTCGCAGCGACGGATCTGCTGTGAATCCTGTTCCGCGACTGTGATACGGCTGAATTTTGATCTCCTGCTACCCGGAGCAAATCTCTGATCTGCATCAAGTCTCTGCCAGCCTCTGACTAGGAAGGCTGAATTGACTCTGCTATACGGGCTGCAGCTGCTAAATTCTGAATCGGGGTTCGATATACCTGAGTCCATGGTGGAAAGAGCTGACGTCGACTGGAGTCTGGGACCCGTTGCCGTGCACGCTCGTCGATTGCTCGCTGGAGGTTCTCTAGTCGAGTGCGCTCAGCCAGGTTGGCCAAACGCGCGTCCTCTAAGGCGCGAGCCTTGGGTTTTCTCCAACGATAGGAGTATGCAGCGCATCCATGTTCCGGCGGCGAAGATCTTCCCTTTGCAGCGAAGTGAGTGGCTCGGGTTGATACTCTTCGTGGACCTGCGCTGGGTCGCCTCCACCGTCGCCTCCGTCGGCGCGGGGGAAGCCGCGAGGACTGCGCGGTCCATTGACCATCAGAACCTCCGCCGCTGGATCACTGCTGTCGCACTCGGATGCAGTCTCTACGGAGCCAGTCGACAGGTCGAACAGGCCGTAGAGAGATTCATCGGGCTCGATTGCCGCGACTTGGGGGGTGGCCGACTGGCAGGCCACCGCGTGCCTCACCCATCACTGAAGCCTCGACCGACCGGAGCGCTTGCGCCGGTGGGAAGCAGGGAGGAAGGATGACACAATGACCGACCGATATTGGGTCGACGGTTGCCGCAGGAGGACACCGCGGACACATGCGCGAAAGTGCGTCGCTCCGCGGACTGGGAGCGCGTCGATGTCGAGTGGAGCCTCCTGAAGCCAAGCAGAGTTGTCGGCGATGAACGTGAGCGCGCCGAGACGGATCTCGCGGCCCTCGACCAAAACTCTGCCTGAAACCATGGTGAAGGCGATCAGAAAAAATTGCAACTTCTCCAATAAGTCGCTAAGACACCCGCCCCACGGTGGGCGCCAACTGTCGTGGTTCTAAGTCTGACAGTAGAAAGGGGGGTAGGTATGGAGAGGCAAGATCTTAGCTATGGAGTAGTTGTATACGCAAAGGATTTACGAGTTCAGGCCCTTCTCGGAGGAAGTAACAGCCCTACGTCTCGGAGCCCGGAGGCGGTCGACTGAATTATATGTGTATGAGTTACAGGGGTGCGAACCCTTTACACTGAGGAGGGGTGTGGCTTATATAGAGTTTGCCAGACCCCTCCGGCCCTCAGTTATGCAGGGTTAAAAGTACATTAAGGCCTGGCGTTACTGGTAACACCCTACATAAAGTGCTATCATGACCATAAAGACTACTTAATAACAGACCGTTTGTGTGCAGAGTGACTCTAGATCTCCTGGCGGTCGAGTGAGTGGCTTCATGGTCGAGTGTCTTCGAGTCCGTCGAGTGGAATCCTTCCAGGTCGACTGAAAGGTAGTTTCTTCTAGAGATGTCCTTGGGGAGGGTACCTTGGATAGGTCCATGACCCTACCCTAGGTACATGGCTTCATCAACGGGCAGGGAAGCAGAGCAACATGCGGGTGCAGCCATATCTGCGCATAAATTTTTGCCAAAGTTCTTACAAATAGAGTAAAACCCCTAGTCCCACTGCTCATTCATTATGATCAAACGGGTTTCCCACATGGACGCAACATCGCGGAAAACTTCATTTATGCTGCTGATATACTAAGTGCTTGCCACACACGTAAAGCCCCGACAATGGTTTTCAAGCTTGACTTCAGGAAAGCTTTCGACTCCATTTGCTGGTCCTCCCTCATCAAAATCCTACAAGCTAGAGGGTTCCCTCCAACTTTCTGTTCTTGGGTAAAAAACATTCTGATCACTGGGAAAACGGCTATCCTCCTAAATGGCATCCCGGGGCCCTGGATACAATGTAGATGTGGTCTACGCCAAGGGGACCCATTCTCGCCATACTTGTTCATCATCGTTGCAGATGTTCTTCAAAGATTGATCGCCAGCGCTTTCCAAACGAACGTACTTTGTCACTCGCTACGACCAAACGAACCACCTGTGACGCTTCAATACGCCGACGATACCCTCATTATTGCTGCAGCTAACGAAGCCGCCACCTTAACTCTAAAAAAACTCTTCACGATTTTGCCCTGGCAACAGGGCTGGTTATCAACTTCCAAAAAACGGCACTTCTCACCACCGCCTCTGACTCAGCCACGCAAAACAACATAGCCGCAGCTATTGGATGCTCTTTATCCTCCTTTCCACTAATATACCTAGGTCTACCCCTCTCCCCTACCAAACTGCCTCTCACAGCCTTCGACCCGATCATAGACAGCTTTCGAAAATTCCTCTTCGGCTGGGTAGCGCGTCTGCTCTCACGTGGTGCTCGCCTGACACTGCTAACTGCGGTCCTAGACTCACTAACAGTTTATTTCATGTCAGTTTTTCGTCTTCCTAAGTCAATCGTAGCAAAACTCGACGCCATACGGAGGGCGTTCTTCTGGTCCAATGAGGCAACTTGCACGGGTGCAAGCTGTTTAGTCGCGTGGAAAAACGTTTGCAAACCGAAAGACTCTGGTGGTCTAGGCATTAAAAATCTAGAAGTTCAGAACCGCTGCTTGCTTATGAAATTCTCTTTCAAGATTCTGCAAAACCCAAACGTCCCTTGGACACAGTGGTATCACCACCAGTATCCTCTTGGCATCACAACAAAAACTTCAAGGCCCTCCTTCCTCTGGAAAATTATCAACAAGAACTTGCCACTGCTCATTGAGCACTCATTTGTGATCACATACAATGGCCTGTCCATCTTTTTTTGGCTCGACAAATGGCTGTTACAGTCGCCTCTCCACAAAATATTCCCCAACCTTCACTCACACTCTTTGGATGACAAGGTTCTAGTGGCTACAGTTTGGCAAAATGGCTTACTGACGAACCTGCGGAACCGTCTGTCTAATGCTGCTGCTCGCGAGCTGGATTGTGTGTTGTTGCTGTTGGAGGATTTTCAGCAGGTGGACTGATCCGACGAACGGTCTCTCACACATGGGCTGCCGTTCTCTGCCAAGAACGCCTACTCCTCCATTGTTGCGGATGATCACGACGACCCTCACCATGACTTTGTCTAGGCCTCCAAGGTACCGATCAAGGTCAAGATCTTCGCCTGGCTTCTCCTCCGCGATCGGCTCAACACGAAAGCCAACATGTTTCACAAGCATATTGCCCACTCGGCTGCTTGTCCACGTTGTCAAGACCCGCACGAGGATGCCCTCCACCTCATCTCCAACTGTTCCTACGCGACACAAGTTTGGTCCTCCTTGGGTCTGTCGTCGCCAACCTCACTTGCTGCTCTACACCAACACCCAACGATTCTAGGCCTCAACCCCAACATCTGGCCATCTGTGGCTTTGACTGTTGCATGGAAGCTGTGGGACTCGAGAAACGCTCTCATATTCAGAAACGAGGATCACTCCCACAACACTACAATTCAAAACATTGTAGCAGATTTCTCCCTCTGGGTTTTTCGGTTCAAAAACAAAGAAGACAATATCTTTGCTAAGCAATGGCTTAATTTCCTCTCTGCTGCTAATCACTAAAAGCGGCTGTTGTAACTGAACTACTGTTGTAATTCTTCACTTCTCTCTTTTGAGTGGTAATATATTCAGGTGGGG